CTGCTAACATATCTCCACCAGTGGCCGGCTGGTTTCAGAGTTATCTTAGTGGCCGACAGCAGCGTATTCGCATTGATGGTATGTTTTCATCCTGGCGTGAATTACGAGCTGGAGTGCCTCAAGGTGGTGTGTTGTCTCCATTACTCTTTGCTATCTTTATTAATTCAATCTCTCACAATATTACTTCTCTCTACCATATGTATGCAGACGATTTTCAACTGTACACACATTCAAATCTTGAAAATTTGCCCACTGCTGTTACTGCCATTAATGGTGACCTGGCGGCTATTAGCGAGTGGAGTAAGAGCTATGGTCTTAAGATTAATCCTTGCAAGTCCCAGGCCATCATTGTTGGCGGAGTTGGCATGATTTCAAAGGTAGATTGGTATAACCTTCCCTCGATAACATTAAATGGTGTTGTGGTGCCATACAACAAAACTGTTAAAAACCTTGGTGTTCACTTCGACTCTACTTTCTCGTGGTCTCACCAGTTAAAGGAAGTTAGCAGGAGAACATTTGCAGCCATGGGTTCTCTGCGGCGCTTACGTTCTTTTCTCCCCATTCCTACTAAGATTATGTTAGCACAATCCTTACTTCTTTCCCTTCTCGATTATGCGGACGCAAGCTATCTTGATTTAACCGAGGACCAACTTAACAAGCTTGAGCGAATTCAAAACTTAGCTATCAGATTTATTTTCGGTCTACGCAAGTATGACCATGTCTCCGAATATCGTACAAAGCTCAAGTGGTTACCCATCCGCCTTCGCCGGAATCTGCATATTGTTTCTCTTCTGTACTGTGTTTTGTTCAATCCTATGACTCCGAGTTATTTGAAGGAACAGTTTAAATTTCTTGGTCATGACAGACCAGAAAGAGTTCTGCGATCAGCCAGTGAACTCATTATCACCCCCGCATACTTTCCGGAGCAAATATTTCCAGCACTCTTTTCCGGTCAAAGCCTTTTGCCTATGGAACGCGCTTCCTCCACACATCCAGCGCTCAAAAACGTTACGCAAGTTTAAAAACTGACGTTAAAAATTATTATCTGTCACTGTGTTCAAGCTGATTATCACCGACGACATTTGTATATTTATTTTTTATTCTTTTCTTCCTGTATATATTTTTTTAAGTTATTGTACAGTATATGTTTAGATTTATGTATGTCTATTGGATCTTATTTCGTATATATTAGTATATTATTATTATACAAAAATACAACATATTCGTTTAGTTTATTTAAATATTAGTATGTAAGTTTATCATTTACACCACCTACCATTGTCCAAATTAAATATTTTAACCACAAGGTTGTCTGGAAGAGATCGCTCCTTAGCGATAAGACCGCCTTATTGTTTATACCTCTTAAGTTTATAGTTCTGTAACATTTCCTTTCATGTTTTTTTTGGTGTTCAATAAAGAATATATAATAATACATTGTTATGGCGGCAACACAAACATCGGTGAAAATTTCAACCGTATAACTTGTACGGTTCATGAGATACGGCCTGGTGACAGACAGACATCGGAGTCTTATTAATAGGGTTCCGTACCCAAAGGGTAAAAACGTGTCATTGACTGTACACTGATGAGTCTATTTTCAGTTCTGATTAAACAATCTCACTTCGGCGAATCGCCGATTGCTGTCACGTTAACGATACAGTACCCGAATTATCAACATAATTCTTATTGATAACTCGCAAGCCTATTATTATCTCTGTACCAATGACGACACCTTATCGCCGACTGGTAATTAAAGGTACGATAAGGCGAAAAACGGTGCGCCATTTGTGTATGGTGGATTGGATTTAGAATGAAATGAAATTGAAGTTTTTGAGTTCAGCGGTGGCTAAAGCGTAAAAGTATCAGCCTATATATGTCCCACTGCTGGGTAAAGGCCTCCTCTGTACAAAGGGTATCAGGTCATAGTCAACCACGCGGCCCCACTGCGGATTGGCGGACATCACGTATCTTCGAAATATTTTTGTTTTTTTTTGTTACATCGAAAATATGCAGATTTCCTCTCGCTGTTTTACTTCGCCGCAAAGCACGTAATAAATAATTCTTAAACGATTTCATTGGTGCCGGCGCCTGGGATCGAACTCAGGTTGCTCTGCATATTGAATTTAAAGGCGAGCAGCGCCCGGACACTGACTGAGCTACTACTAAAACATAAAACATTTAATACAAACGCCATCAATCCATCGATGTGCATACACGACATGGATAGATAATTAACTATTACCGCCCAACGGTTACAAGCGAACGTCAGAGCGTCCTGCCGGTGTGAATCGACGCTTATTGTTATACAGCGTGTCGTAACCATCGCGACAATAAAAGAACACACGTCACGTACAAACGGTACGTGCCAATAACCATAAAAAAATATGAACGTTAAACAAATTCCATAATTAAAAAAATTTTTTTTCAAACTAATTAAGTAAAAAAGAAAATTTGTAACATCCTATACAACTCGCGCCACACAGCATTACAAGCCTCTCCTTCTAACAGTATGTTTTGTCTCTTTTAAATTCATTCAACCCATTCATATGCTTTGTAACCTTTACAAATGAACTTTACATTACACTTTTATAGGTGAGGGTGTTCTAAAATTTTTTGTTTTGGAAAATTTTGTAAATCTGTAAATATTGAAGTTTAAAGAATTCAAATGTTTAATACAACTTTAAAAAGTTATCCCCTATATGTGTGTTAATTTATTGTCGCGATGGTAACGACACGCTGTATATAAACGATCGCACGCGGTCTCATCTCGCACATTAGCAACAGACGCCCCCGGTCCCACGCCCCTGAACGCTGGGCACCGCATCTGTTGCAAAGGTCGCGCCGGTCGCGTGGACAGCGAACAGATTACGTGGAATAGAGGGGAACAAAAAAGGCAGGCTTCAGTACAGTAAGACCGACGTTGAAGTGGAAGTTATTCTTCTGAGCTTCGTCTGGCGAGCGAGGTAAGCGGAGACAACTTTATTAAAAGGTGGCAACGCATCTGCCACCCTACGAGTGGTGTAAGTTAAACAAGTATTAAGCTTTATATTATACAGCGTGTCGTTACCATCGCGACAATAAATGAACACACGTCTGACGCTAACTTGCCAATAATCACAAAAAAATATTAACGTTAAAAATATCCATAATTAAAAAAAAATTTTCAAACTAATTAAGTAAAAAAGAAACAAAATTTGTAACATACAACTACAACAGACTGATTCATACATGCAGAGACTTTTTCATTCGTTGTCACGGCGTCGCATTACAAGCCTCTCCTTCTAACAGTATGTTTTGTCTCTTTTAAATTCATTTAACCCATTCATATGCTTTGTGACCTTAACAAATGAACTTTACGTTACAGTTTTATACGTAAGGTTGTTCTAAAATTCTTTGTTTTGGAAAATTTAATAACTCTGTAAATATTGATGTTTAAAGAATGTAAATTTTTGATACAATTTTAAAAAGTTATTCTCTATATGTGTGTTCATTTATTGTCGCGATGGTAAAGGCTGTAACGACGCACGCGGTCTCATCTCGCACATTAGCAACAGACGCCCCCGGTCCCACGCCCCTGAACGCTGGGCACCGCATCTGTTGCAAAGGTCGCGCCGGTCGCGTGGACAGCGAACAGATTACGTGGAATAGAGGGGAACAAAAAGGCAGGCTTCAGTACAGTAAGACCGACGTTGAAGTGGAAGTTATTCTTCTGAGCTTCGTCTGGCGAGCGAGGTAAGCGGAGACAACTTTATTAAAAGGTGGCAACGCATCTGCCACCCTACGAGTGGTGTAAGTTAAACAAGTATTAAGCTTTATATTATACAGCGTGTCGTTACCATCGCGACAATAAATGAACACACGTCTGACGCTAACTTGCCAATAATCACAAAAAAATATTAACGTTAAAAATATACATAATAAAAAAAAAAATTTTTCAAACTAATTAAGTAAAAAAGAAACAAAATTTGTAACATACAACTACAACAGACTGATTCATACATGCAGAGACTTTTTCATTCGTTGCCACGGCGTCGCATTACAAGCCTCTCCTTCTAACAGTATGTTTTGTCTCTTTTAAAATTCATTTAACCCATTCATATGCTTTGGTGACCTTAACAAATGAACTTTACGTTACAGTTTTATACGTAAGGTTGTTCTAAAATTCTTTGTTTTGGAAAATTTAATAACTCTGTAAATATTGATGTTTAGAGAATGTAAATTTTTGATACAATTTTAAAAAGTTATCCTCTATATGTATGTTCATTTATTGTCGCGTTGGTAACGACACGCTGTAATAATTCATTTTCAACGTCAGATGGATCGTGCATTCTATCTTTTATGTGTTTCATGTTCTTCTTTTCCTTGCCCTCATGATGTTAATCGTATTGGCTAAGTTTTTTATGATCAGTCGCTTGCCTTAAGTCATTATTGTCCTATTTGGTAATAAACATCGAGGTCCGCAACAAGTCTCTATGTCCCGTCACCGTACCTCAGCAGCTGTCTCACTGAGCCATGTGTTTATTAATCATGTTCGTCGTGTTGAATCTTTTAAAATTATGTAAAAATTAGAAAATGCCGATTGTGACAAATTAAATTTTGCTCATAAGAATTTCGAAAAACGATACTTCACGATTCACTTAAATGCGAATAGAATCCTTGACTTTCTTTTTCGAGGGTATAATAAGGAGAAGATCTAAAGCAACCGAGCATCGTCAGTTTCATTCGTGTATATAAACGCCTAGTACGGGAATTGCACGCGTCGCGTTTATAATATCGCCCGCGACAATTCACCACAGTTACGACCTGTCACGATGTCACGCGCGACACGTTTAACGTATCGCGCAAAGAGATAGGTGCGAGAAGTTGCCAACGAAGGAAAGACCGCGTCTGTTGCTGTAGTCTATTCACGAAATAGTTAATTATTCACGCATTTATGTATCATGAAGCGTTTGAACCAATGACGTGCAGTATACGCGATAGACGACCAAAGCTATATTTCATTCTGACAGGTCGTTTCTGACCAGATCTTCCATATGGTAGATTTTGCCAGACCCATGGGCTGGAGTGGCAGAGCCCTGCCAATGCACTCTTGGCACGACAGACGCTTCCTCCCCCCCCACCCTCGTAATCGTCGTGGCGCCATTATTTGCCACTTGTATATTTCTATCGAGAGTATCTGCCAAGGGCCGCGACGTGTGGAGACGCGAATTTATATCCGGTTGTTGTCGCGTTGCCATTGACTTAAAGCAACGCGAGCGGCAGATTGTTTTTGCAAGTCTGTCGTGAAGTTCCACATCTACATCGGCTTGACCGTGAATTGCGTAAAAAAAAAACCTGTAAAACATGTCCGGTTTTAGAACACTTCTTGGTGTTTTAATAGCAGCACTGCTTTTTTACAAATACAGATTTTAAAATTGTTTCTAATTACGCCAGTATACGCGACTTCTACGATCTGATACTACAGCAAATACCGGCACTAGAACATAAACTAAATCAAACACTAGGATCTATGGTCCAGGTGGTCGAGGCCAACACGTGTACTAAACCTACACCTAATGAAAAGCACGTAAAATATCGTCGAGCATACTCGTTCGGTCCTTCTGAATAAGGCACCACGAGATCTCTCCGAAACAACAGAACGGGCCGGGCTTGTTTCCAGCGTCCGCGGCCTACGTTGCGTCTTCCGCTAAGACATCGCTCGCCGTCGGGTGTCAGGGCCGAGGAGTCGCGCCGCTTGTAAACAAACGCAAATAACGTTGAGCCTGGCCCGCCGTAGCGCTGTCACAGGTCTATTTATACTTGCCACAAGTCTCTCCAGATCTTCGGAGAATGGGCAAGTTCTGTGACGATACGACGCACGATGATCACCGAGGGGCAAGGTGATGATATTGATTTTTTTTTCTTTTTTATGTGAAAAGTTGCCAAACGAGCAGACGGTTCACCTGATGGTAAGTGAATACCGCCGCCCATAGACATCTGCTGCACCCGAGGGTTACAGATGCGTTGACAACCTTTTGAAAATTGGGCTCCGGCTACCTCACTCACCAGACGAAACGCGAAAATATTTGTCATACTTCCACTTTACGCTGGTTTTCTGTGAGGTCGTGGTATTTACCCGGACGGGCCTGCCCATTCGTGCAACATCCGAGGCTGCTTCGTGGACCTACCACCGTGAAAATTTTGTCGTGAGATTTGTCACGTCAAGGCTGAATGGACACGGTACGCGGAGGCCCATATGTTCAGCGGTAGACTAGAGCAGTCTGACATCATGATGATGACACATATGCATGAGCTCATGGAAATATTGTGCGAGTGCTGTGCCAATTGCATTTCAATAAACACCTTGCGCGAGCAAATTCAAGACTTATTCAAAAGGCCTTTTTGTTGTTTAAGGAAAGGTCTTAGATAGGAACAGTGTATTTTGATATTCTCATAACTAAATCTACGAGGCGGAGCCTTCAGTGTCCGATACGTATCTGAAGCTATACAGGATTTCAATCTTTGGTCAGAAGCGGAGAATGTGTTCTAATCCATAGCAAATAGTTGTCCAGGTCTATAGGTTTACCCATAGACCTGACCAGGACCCCATGAGAGAAATGCCCGGTCGGACCGTGCGCAAGATACGGGCGCGGGGCGAGGTACGAAGGGGGCAGCGCGTGGGCGCGTTGAGTATTTGCCGGGGCTGCCATGTTTACATCGTACTTTAACAGGTTGTAAATATTTTTCGTATAGGTAAACCGCTCGGCTGAACGCATAGGCCGAGAACGTTTTGAAACGTTGTGCAACTCTAGTTTTTACCCATGACTACTTTCCAGTGCTTCTAATCGAGGTAACACTCGTAATTAGTTGCCAAGTGTCATGGGATCAAAGCTTTTTCTTAATATAGAGTGGATCGATTCTAGATTGCAAATTAATCCGTTAAAGGTACTAAACAAGCACAGAAATAATCGAATTGATGCGATTTATTCCGATGGTTCTTTTGCGGTACACTTTATTAAAAGTGTGGCATCTCAACTGCAACACTACGGGTGTTGTAAGTTTCCTTGGGCGGCGGCTTTCACCTAACATCAGGTGAACCGCCAGCTCCTTTGCCATCTCTCTACGTAAAATAGTTCTTAGTTCTTTCTACTTCGTTCGTTCTTAGGTTTACACAGTACCAACCTATATAAAAAATAACAAACGCGTCGTATTGTAAATATTGCATCTACAGGCTATGAGAATCGAGTCAGCACCTATTCATGAAGGAACTTGAAACTCTCCATATGGAATAAAGGTTTAAAACAGTCTAAACTCTCGGTATGGACTAAAGATTTAAAACGTTAGTTAAAGTACTACAGTTACTACAGTTCCACGGTCGAAGATGTTTGGATATAACACGAGTGTGATAGCCTGTGGCAAACATTAGTTTTGTTTTCCGCTTCGCCTGTGTCAATGTTGGCGGATTCGAATCCCAAAGCACACAACACAGGCGGTGCTTGTCTTGGCCGTGCACACCACGTGCCCAGTCACAAGATTTCCGCCGCTATTGTGCGATAACGGAATAACCTACCGTTGACACCGCAAACAGTGTTACAGTCGACGGGGACGAATGGATGCGAGGGCTTTGGCCCCGCCCGAAACGTTGAATCTGACTATACTTATATATTAATAATAATGAATGAATACTTTTATTGTCCCCCACAAAAAATAAATATTTTAAGACACATTTTTTTAGAGCCGTGATAGCTCAGTGTCCGGGCGCTCGCCTTTAATTCAATATACTCGAGCAACCTGAGTTCGATCCCCGGTGCCGGCACCAATGAAGTTTTTAACTTTAAGTGCTGACTTATCACGTGCTCCGCGGTGAAGGAAAACATCGTGAGGAAACCTGCATATTTTCGAAATAATAACAAAAAAAATATTTTTCGAAGATATGTGAAGTCCGCCAATCCGCAGTGGGGCCGCGTGGTGGACTATGCCCTGATACCCTCTGTACAGAGGAGGCCTTTGCCCAGCAGTGGTACATGTATAGGCTGTTACTTTACTTTTTACTTACATTTTTTTTACACCGTTACTAGATAACGGGTACTAGATAACTGATAAACATAATTAAATATACTCCTTTTCTCTTGTAGACGCTACACTAGAAAAACATGTTCATCACACAATATTTTTCCAGTAGTGGGGATCGGACCCACACCCTCTGACGCAGGAGGCAGGTACACTACCCACTACGATATTCAGGTCGTCTAATGAAAGAATACACAAAATGAACAATAAAAAAGGAGACCTATGGACAAATTGTGCATTGTCTACAACGCAAAAAGAAAAAAAAGTCAAAGGGAACATGAGACTGAAGTTTTTTGTATTTGCGAAACAACGGAGTGATAATATATGTCCCACAGCTGGGCAAAGACCAGCTCTGTTGGGTAATAGGACATAGTCCACTGCGGAATGACAGACCTCACGTCTTCGAAATATTACTTGTTATTATTTCAACAACATGCAGGTTTCTTCACCATGTTTTCCTTCTCCGCTGGTGGACTTGGATTTTAAAAAATACAGCTCAGAAAAAGTATTTAAATAACGCACAAGTTTGTGCGGTTCGAACTCATGTTTCAGAGCCATATTCACTTTACATATGAAACCGGCGGTGCATAGATTTTAAAGTTAAAATACAAAATTAAAGATACTGGAAACGAAATCACTTGATTTGTATTACTCAATGTCGCTAATAAATCGCTTCATATCGCATACCAGCGCAATTTCAACGAGAGATTATGATGGAAGTAATAAAAAATGTACGCGTATCGTATTTTCACGATAATTTCATTATCGGGCGGGGCGTTAGCGTTTTCTGAAACTTGTACTTTCGCAGCGACCTCGAAACGGTTACCTTATCGACCCTTATTGCCAACAATGCAACACGTACAAATACGTAGTAAACGTAAAACAGACATTGATATTTCGAGAGGTCATAAATAATAAATAACCAGAGAGTAAGATTTTGTTGTGGTGAAATTCGACGGAGAAGTAATCATCAATATTTGTCAATCTTCATCCGTACATACAAACTATTTTTGAAATTTTTAAAAGAGACATTTATGTCATCGCCATCATCGTTTTTCACGCCATTCGAGTCCACTGCTGAAGATAGGCCTCTCTTTCATCCATAGACTTCCTGCACATTAGCATAGGTCGTTCGTTAATCCATCTAGTGAGGGTCCTACATTACGATGGCCAATACGAGGCTACCACTCCAACTCTCCATCCCCAGCATACAACACAATACGAGGGTTCACAAATTTAATCTTTATAACGGCCACTGTCAATATCAATAATATCATTCTCGTACATAAAAAGATTACGCTAGATAAATTGATATTAAAAAAAGTCTCGACCAAACCGATCCACGAAACACGACTATGATCTTTACGCACTCGAGATAAAACCTATATTCGTTAGCTCGCAACAAACGGTTCTTTCAAAACGCCGTATCTTTTGTGCGTGGTTTATGGATTCCGATACTCTTACGTTTCTATTGATTGAAGTATAAGTAACGTAGGTTTATAGACCGTCGCAATACCTACCAAACTCCGGAATCACATTGCCCATGAAGCCTAAACGAGTTCCTTATTACGTTATCTTTTGCCACTTAATGCCTTTTAGGGAGTTTAAGACAATTATTCCTTAAGTTCGTCGTCCAAAGACTCAAGACGTGGTAATAAATCAAACAACGATCCGGATCGCGTAATATTTTTCTTTCATGAACCGGCCAGTATCTCGCGAATTACCAGTGATATCGCCTGATTTAGATTTAGCCTTCGCCGAGTACAAGGTCGTTAGCGGCCGTGTTGTGTGGTTTTTATATTTAAAAAAAAATATATATACATTCGAAACAGGTTTCCGACCGCGACAGAGCCGATAAGGGGGGTCCCTAATGATTCCACGTCATGGGCCTTATCGCTAAAATGTTAATTAATAACGTATTTACGTAAAAACGAGCGCACGCGCACGTATATAAATTGAACATTCAGCTATACTGATGCCTTTAAAGATTGCTTTGAAAATCCATTATTTAAAACAAATATAAAAAAAACTAGCAACTTTGTAAGTTGCGATAAGATGTCTTTAATAATAAATGTCATGTCACAGGTTTTTTTTCTTCTTATTTATTATTCGTTACAACGAATAGCGTTATAACGACAATGACGTTTATTTCGAGCCTGTTGGGAGAGATCGCGAGCCGATTGTTAGTGTCTGGGTGACCATATTTAACACATGGCACGAATCCACGTACAAACCCAGACTCTTGAGAGACCTGAGGTGTGGGGTCCAAACTGGAGGTACATTCAGGGTTCATGAAGCGATTTTTTGGGTTTGGGTAGAACCACTTCATCGTTTACACCCCCCCTCCTTTTCTTTACTTCTACTACATGAGAACACGATAATGTGGCAAGACAATGTGCGATACTTGTTCTCGTCCAGTGTGCGGATCGAACCCACTACCGGCTGCGCCGAAGCCCGTCGCATGGCGGCTACTTAACCCGGCCACGGATGTAGCCCTCTCGGTATTGGGAGACATACATTCCTCGAATGCGAGCTAAGGTAAGTTAGTATAGCCGTTCGTTCTTGATCGGACAGTGACGCCCGGTTTCTAAAACACTGATCATCGTAGAAAACGTAAATTAATCAGCTGTCAGATGGCTTTTCAAATGTTATTCGAGTTGCCAGAATGATTGATAAAATCTCTCTGAATTGATCAGAATAATCAATTTTGAATTGATCAGTGTTTTGGAAACCGGGGGTGAGATACGTAATTCGAATAAAAAAAAAAAAAAAAAATATAGAGAAATAACACAGTGGCACAGCATCAGCCTGTTCGTAATTAATTAGAGGAAAAACAAAAGAAAAAGAAAAAACAACCAGCAGTCGAATTCCGTTCACAAAAAAAAAATTACGGTAAAACAAAACCGAACATGCAAAGATGGTAAAGAAAAAATAAACTGCGATCGAATGCCGTTCGCAAAAAAAAAAAGCAAAAAAAAAAAGCAACTCCACTCACCGTCCGCGTCCACCTCGTTGATCATGTCCTGCAGCTCGGCCTCGGTGGGGTTCTGTCCGAGGGAGCGCATCACGGTGCCCAGCTCCTTGGTGGTGATGGTGCCGTCGCCGTCCTTGTCGAACAGCGAGAACGCCTCTTTGAATTCGGCGATCTGTTCCTCTGTGAGCTGGTCCGCCTGGAACGCGGGGTGAGCGCTTTAGGAGGGGCAACGACAACGCTGGGTAATTAATTATAATAATTTGAAAAAAAAAAAAAAAAAAAAAAAAAAAGACCAGTGTTCTTCGCCGCTTCTGCATTCCAAATTGACATACAAATATATTTGCCCTAAAATAGTAACATGAAAGACTTCAACATAATAAACATTATTTTTTGCCAAAATTATATCCAATGAGACGACACTTTCACATGTCTTAAATTACATTCCAAAATGTAGCTTCGAGCGTATATAATTTGAGTTCCATTATCCAAAACAATTATTGCCATTTTGGAAGACAAAATTTAAACATTTACAAATTGTAGTCATTATCACAGAGAAGAACGTAATTTACAATGATTAGTAAATTAATAGTGTAACAAGAAACTTTATAATTTATGCAAATGACAAACTTTGAAAGTCGATAAGACAATTCAATATGTACAAAAAAAATAATTAGAAACTTCTACAACTTTTAATAAAATATAAAAAATATTTCAATTATATTTAAATACATACAATAGAGACAACCATTTTCTCAAGATAGTTCAAAGCCAACAGCAAAGGAGAGAGTCTATAAACTTAATGGAAGATTGTATCATAGCAGACATGATAAGATTACAAAGATATAGACATAATTATAATATGAGACACGTCACAATGCGGACAACAGAGGCGATACAGAGGAGATAGCGAATACTGCATTATAATAAACTTTATCAATATCGAGATAAATAACATTGTGTACTATTAAAACAAACTTTTCAGTAATATGAAATGTTGAATTTTGATAAGAAAAATTATAATTATTATAATTATCAAATGGGATTAATTATATCTTAGAAAGTGTATGATATGACTTAATTATTTTTCAGTATAGAGCATACAGAATATAGAACAGAGGATTTAAAATAATTCCAACAATATTTTAAGGGACAATCTTCAAGGATGACCTGTCAGAAATCACCCATTGCTCCAATTTAAAAATAATATATCGTCACTAAGTCCTGTCTTTACGTGCTTAGCTATTATAAAATTGAATTCATATTTAGCATTTCTCAATGTTCTTTTCCATTCCAATTATATATATATTATACTAAAACACATAATTGCAAATATATGAAAAATACTTTTCTTAGAATATTAACTTGTCTCGTCATAACTATTATGTTCAAAAATTTATTTCATTGCAACATAATGTTGAAATGAAGTTTATTATGATCTTTATTGTAGTACATTTTATTATTTCTTACAGTTACAATACAAGGTCTTGCCAGAACAACTTATTGTACAAAAACCTATTGATTTATACCTACATATTTCAAACAAGATTAGAAATCTAATTATTCCATATGTACATACTGTATTGAAGGATTTAATATAACAATTTTCTTATACTTGTAACATTATGAACATACCTGATAATTGGTTAAAAATGCATTACCATTATTTACCCATTGATTTATAATAAATATAAAATATTGGAATTAATCTATATTTTTCCTATAACATTTAACACTTTTCAAATGATAAGTGCATAAGAAATGAATTATTTTATCTCATATTGAGGTTCAATTTGGTATGTCTTTCTTGTTATAGTGTTGTTTTTATATCATCGTCTACTAGATTTGTTTAAATTTAATTATATTATAGCATAGAACCGAACTAAAATCTGTGAAGTTTTACACAAGACGCTGTAGTTTGATGTTATTTCTAAAAAAATCTATAATGTTGAAGACAACAGTGGGCCGGTGACTGCATAGTGCTCTTAAGCAGCATCCTGAAAGATTTTACTTTACCACTTTATGTCGTTGCAGTCTTGCCGGTGAATAGAGCAGGCGGAACTAGTTTTAGGAATTGCGTATGTAAAATAAAAGCTCGGGGGCCGCGATGAGTCAACTGGCATTTGACAGGTGCGCCGGTCGATCGATCCACCGACAACAGGGCGCGACGCGAGTTTAATACCACCCTAATTTGCGAAAACAGCTTTATAGTAACCTAACAAACGCCATTTTAAAGGCGTCATCGACCGTTCGCCTTACGGCTTCATCCAGGAAAACGTCATTAGACCGGCAACACCTAACGAACTATGGCGACGGATGTTTCTCGATACACTACGCCAATCATTTCGCCAGCAATCAGACGCTTAAATACGTTCACAAGCCCACTATTGTCTCCATTTCAATTAAATCTTCATCCTTATTCAGACTTGGGCGACGTCGCCGATCCGCATTGCGGTAAAAAACGGCCGTCACAATAATATAATGGAGGCCGTCATCACTATAAACACCGATGCACAATAACCCCGAAATATACCCGTAGAGCTGTTCGAAAAGGTCTCCCTAAAGCACTGGAGAGATTTTCTTGATGAAATATCACTCACCATCGTAGATTAACTTGGATTATCTGGAGCTACACTAAAAATCACAGACTACGCCGCAAAAGCGACCGTACAGACCGACGGTTGAAACGATACTGCCGCCCTCACTCGCGCGAGCGGCCGCGCCGGTAAACTCGCGCTCGCGATTCGTTCCGAATAGGGGCGCGAATAGTTCCGAGTCGCTTAATCGAATAGGCGCACTCTCATGTCCGTTTACCGATTCTCGCACTCGGCTCGGCTCGCACTTGTGTCAGTGTCTTCAATTCAAGCGCGAAAGTCTCGTACGTCCAAGTCCATGTCTCGGGACGCGCTGCACGGGATTAGATTTAATCCGCAAAGGATAGTCGGTTTTATATCGGGCGGGTGCGGCGGCGTGGAGCTGCGGGCGGCGCGCGCCGATTGGCCACGGCGCACCTGCAATGCGTCAACGCGCGGCGCAGAGCCGAGCGCCGATGCCCCACTTCAAGAGATGGGCTTCGTAGCGATTTTCGCTGAGCGGCGCCCACTCCGAGCTGTGGAACAAAGAGCAGCTAATAAAGTCAGTTTCTTGACACCCATAAAGCTATAATTTGTTGAAACTTTTCATCACTAAAACTATATTCTCTTATTCTAAACGTCCCTTGACTGAAACATGACCGTATTTTAAAACTCTTCTTTGCGCATTTTCAATGATTAAATTCAGTCTTTTGCTTTTTCTGGCTAGTTGAAATAAAAATGTAAAGGAGACTTGGGGAATCGTGAATAAATTTAATGTTATCAATATATGGGTAACCGAATAGGTTTTTTTTGTAATTAATAAAAGGTATAAGTGAAAGTAAATATTTACGCTCATTCTGTCTCTTTCCTGGACACAGTCTTTGCATATCAGTGGTCGTTATAACAGAACGACCCTAACCGCATGGCCAACGCATTGCCCGGTTCCCTAACGAAACAAGCGGTCAGACTGCGCAGGCTTCCTTCATGCGGTCCTACAATCCACGAAATCATGACAAGCACGCCTTGGTATAAACCTAGCCCGGTTACACCCCACGAAGACAACCGCATTCACTATACCTGCTATTACTATCATGCAAGATATTTCATTATCATAATTTCTTAATGTAAAGTATTATGAATAAAAATAATTTAAACATAATAGTCGCATAATAAAGTTCAGATAGGATACCAAATAGTGCATGTAATGGGCATTGTCATTATATTAATATTTAAAAGAGCAACTGATAGCCATTGTTTATGGTATATAAATACCTACTTGCTTTTATGTATGATTTGTAAAATAATTTTAAACAGTTTTCACGTTGACATTTCAAACTAACAAAGCTAATGTACGATGTTATGTATACATGGCACTAGCAATCGTGATTCGATGTTTTCATCGATTTTTTATTTAACAATACAACACTATTATAAAAAGAATTATCTGTTGACAGTTGATGTCAATTTTAAACGAATAATACGATACAAATGAAGTCTAAAGTCGCGGTAGGTTTAACTAATAATGAATAGTTTATATGGACAAATCACCAACACGTTAAACTATAATAATGATAATCTTTACCTCGTTACCTCGTATCTTTTCCATCATAAACAAAATGTTTTTATTTCAGTTAGGTAATGTATGTAAATGAATTCATAATGATACATATGAATATGGGAAAAAAAGAACACTGGCTACCAGTATCTTCTGTAACGGGTTTTTGTAGCGTACTTTTGCATGGGGAAATATACTGTCTCTTACACAATTTTAATGGCTTCATTTGCGCGCATTTTCATACCGACGCGGCGAAGTGGCAATAAGGTTTCCGATCTTGTTACAATATTATGCTACTGCTCATTCTTTATACGTGTACAAATAAAATAAATAGTTTGCGAACATTGAATAACATTCTCTTATATATACAAATAGCACACAACTATTTTACTTTTTTAAAACATTGCCGTTACTTTAGGACTTTAGGATAACATTATCCTGTGTTGTAAGGACGTTTTCCAAACATAATTTTCACGCGTACAAACACCCCGATGCGAAGCAATATGAGAATCGATTCCACGTCCCCCGACATCGAAGCCAATACCTAGGCAACTGCGCCACGGAGTCATCTACTTTTATTTATTGCCAACTATTTATTGTATAGCCCCGTATTTGTCCCAGTTCGTGTATTGATGTGCCTCCGGAAAACATACAGCATTGTTTATGAAGAAGCAGTGTATACTTAGCCATATAAGTGCGGTCCGTACTCTTGACGATAAAATAAAGATGGCGGCACTTCCGCCACAGGTGTCAGGTGTCCCAGCTAGGACGAGGTAGCCGATGTCATTCTCAGAGCTCATAGCGTTGTGTACTTTCGTCGAGTGCGGTTGTCTTTTAAATCGGGTAGCTGCTTTAAATTTTATTTTCGTAAAAGTATTAACTTTTCGGATATTCATTATTTTTTTTTTTTCTTCAACCTCTACTTTGAAATACGTTTTCGTTATGAATCGGACGTCAAGTGAGATTATCAATGAAGCTGCCGCTGAGACCAATCAGTCTGTCGGGTCGAACTCTCCTATTTCCGAAAGGGATACATGTTTGGAAAAGGAGGACTCTTCGGGCAATAGCAGTTCATCGGACAGCTGTGCTGAACAAGAGGAACCTCCATGCAAGAAACAGAAAACGCAGGTAATCATCGATCCTCGGATCGACGCGTTATACAACCAGGTGAGTTTTCTTACTAACCTAATCATGCATCAACAATGTGTACCAAGTACAAACGTGAATGTAAGTAACGTAAACGAAAAAAACAAATGATACGCACAGTGACTTCCTAACAAATCCATCAATAGAAAGACCTAAGTCATTAGATTTAGGGGACTGTCAAACAAGCTTTGACGAGAAAAAAGTTGAAAAAATTGCAAATGAAAAACGGTTGCGTCAATTAATAAATCTCCAACATTTTAACACTCCAACGTGGCAACACAATCCGATATAACAAGGCCTTGGTGGATATGCTCGCGTCTCCGGGCTTTTGTAATTTAAAAATAAACGACGAGCTGTGTTGTTTAGACAGAGGAAAAGATTACTTGGCCTCAACAGAAGAGATTATGGCTGCAACCACCAATGCCTTGTTATATCAAAGGGAACTATTGCAATCCAGTTTACAGGAAATTATTAATTGGGCTCACGATAACCCGACGGAGCTAAAATATGATAATCTTTTTAGTAAAATCTCTGCAACATTTGGTAAGGAATCACCATGTTACAAATTATCTGAACAAATTTTACAAATAATTTGTGGTAAAAGGGCAGAATGCATAGAAAGACACGTAAACGATTAATTGATGAAATTTCGGAAAAAAAGTATTCAAACTGCGCTTCGTAGCATTCCACCTAGCGAGGAATTTTTATTTGAAAAAACAAGATTGACGTCTCTCATTCAGTCCCTCGGAGGGCCTCGCTTTTGGCTATCAACACCACAAGCTCTGAAAACGAAAGAGCATCAAAAATATAAAGAACCGACACCATCTACCTCCAAATACAAACCTCAGACACAAAACAATAAAATTGGTTTCCGAAATAATTATAAAAAGCAGCAAATGAAACAAACGCACAAAGGAAAAACCGACGGTTACAAACAGGCCAAGAATTATTCATTTCGTAACAAAGAAGGAAAAAAGTGACTATCCGACACATTTCAGGGGAGGTCGTTTAATTTCGTACAAAAACCGTTGGGAAGCACTGGGTGCGAACAAATTTATAATATCGGCAATCACGGGATCTCGATTACCCCTCTACAAAAAACCTCCTCTATTAAGACCAACCAGACACATTATGACGCAATACGCAACGAAGCCGTCTCATGCCATGTGTCAGATATTCAAAGACCTCTTAAATCAAGGTATTTTGAAACCAGTCTTCAAGAAAACACCCAGTTTTGTCTCCAGAATTTTTCTGAGGAAGAAAGGCGATGGATCAATGCGGCCAATCTTCGATCTACGAGAGTTGAACAAATTTGTGAAAACAAGGCAGTTTCGATTGATCTCTCACGCCTCTGTGCCAGATTTTCTCCAACCAGGAGACTGGATGATAAAAATCGACATATCTCAAGCGTACTTCCATCTACCAGTAGCAAAATCTCACCGCCCGTTCTTGAGAATCAGTTACAAAGACCAGTTATACGAAATGACATGTCTCCCGTTTGGGCTGGCTTCAGCGCCACACCTTTTCTCCTCTGTAACATGCTGGGTCGCGGAGACCTTGCGTACGAAGGGATGTCGAGTTCTAGTCTACCTAGACGACTTCCTTCTGGTCAACCAGGACCACTCCAAGTTATGTCTTCAGGCCGCGGAGGCCGTGAGGCACTTGGAACATCTGGGCTGGTACATCAACCACCAGAAATCTGTTTTAGTACCAACTCAAGGTTTGGAATACCTTGGAATACGATGGCATACGGCAGCAAATGCAATGTCATTGCCAACAAAGAGGAAACANTTCGAGAGCTGCACAAAGCTTGCTAGGCCAGTTAAACTTTGCGAATTTTGTCATACCTCGAGGGAGACTCCATTGCCGCAAAATGCAAATATTTCTGAGACATTTCAACAGGGCACGACCCCGTCAAAAACGGCCGATTCCTCAAGTTGTTTGTCAAGAAATGATGTGGTGGCGCGGAGCCACAAATTACACATCGCCTGTGCACAAAAAACCTGTGACCCACTTCTTAGCGACGGATGCTTCGGATTGGGGTTGGGGTGCACATCTAGACGGAAAACTAATGTCAGGTACATGGTCAACTCGTCAAAGACGATGGCACTGCAACAAGAAGGAATTATTTGCAGTAATAGCAGCAATCAAAGGGAATGTAAGGGCACTGCAAAAGTCACATGTGCTAATTCAATCAGACAATCGGACCCTGATTGCGTACATTCGAAAGGAAGGGGGGAACCAGATCTTTAGGATTACTAGCCCTAACCTTCAAACTCTTACTTCTAACAGACAAGTTCGACATAACCCTATCAGCCCACTATTTACCAGGAAGATACAACATAATAGCGGACAGGCTATCACGAGGAAAAAAGCCCGCGGAATGGCATCTTCTGCCTCCTGTGACAGCGGAAGTCTTTCGGAAGTGGGGTCTTCCAGAGATAGATCTGTTTGCAACAAAAGGGACTGCTGTAGTAAAAAATTATGTATCACTGGACTGCAGAGATCGATCTGCAAGCTATATAGATGCCTTCAGCAGACCATGGAAACACCGGCTGGCATGGGTGTTTCCTCCTCCCCTCCCAGCTTGTGTTGCCCAGGGTTCTGTCACACCTGAACAAGGCAACGGGAACTTACTTAATCGTAGCTCCGGAGTGGCCTCGGGTGTTCTGGCTTCAAGACCTGAAGTCCAGAGCGCTAGATCACCCACACGAACTTCGGAATCTGTCGAAGACCATGATAGACTTCACAACATTACAGCCTCCCCCACAGGTAGAGACATTGACCTTGAAAGTCTGGAAAATTGGGGGTGGGGTGCCCAAATAAAAGAATGGTCTACAGAAGAGAAAAAACTGCTAAAGAATAGCTGGCGACAATCTACCTTATTA